AATGACAAAAAAAGAAAAACTTGTAAATAGCTCAAGGTCTGTTTGTTGACGTTTAGGAGTATTTTCTGGTTGAGTCTGATGGGATGCCATGCCCTGGCTCCAAAGTCTATTTTTGGTATTCCCTTGGGACTTCATTGCTCTGCTCCCTTTGCTGTTTTGTTGCAAGCCCTTAGTGTTCCACCTGGGTGTGGTGGGGTCAGGAGCAATTCCCACACTGTGTCTCCAGTGTTGTCCCCCATAGGGCTATGGGTCAGTGAGGGATGTTGTGTCTCATAGTGGAGACGGCCCGATGGTCCTCTCTGTGCATTGGCTGCTCTGAGCGGGGATATCGTCCTCAAGGCCTGGTGGGCCAGGATGTACTCCACTCTCTCTTCCTCCCCCTTTGTTTGCTCCCATGTGCTCGGATCAGACATCTGATCTGATCAGACAGCTCCCTGAGCTGTAGCTTCAGTGCTGTCCTCTGAAGTACATTCTTCCGGGGGAGGGGCGGCTGTCCACGTAGTTGGGATTGGGGCTGGCCTCTCAGACCTCTCCATTGGTTCCCTGCTGCATGCCGGCATGTTGCACTCACATCTTGGAGCACCGGGTTGAAGTCTGGTCCCTCAGCGGACTCATGCTGAAGCCAGCCATTATTATATTATCTAGTCAGTTCCAACTCATAGTGACCCCATGTACAACAGAATGAAGCACTGTCCAGTCCCGGCCCGTGCTTCCATGGTGCGTATGCTTGAGGCCATTGTGACAGCTGTGGTGTCACTTCATCTTGTCAGGGCCTTCCTCTTTCCCACTGCCTCTCCACCACGCTTGATGTCCTTTCTCCAGGGACGGGTCTCTCCTGATGTGCACAGGACGTGAGACGAAACCTGCTGTCCTTGCTTCTAAGGCGCACTCTGGCTGTGCTCCTTCCAGGAGAAGATTTGTTTGTACTTCTGGCGGTCCATGGTATAGTTGATACTCTCTCCCAACAACGTAATTCATGTGCATCAATTCTTCTTCAGCATTCCCTAGTCACTGTCCAGTTTTCACATGCATAGCAGAGCTTGGGCCAAGGGCACCTTCATCCTCAAAGCAACCTCTCTGCTTTTAAGCACTTTAAAGAGGTCCTATGCAGCAGATCTAGTGCAGTATGTCATTTGATTTTTGATCGGTGCTTTCTTGATTGTTGGTGAAGTTCCCTGTACAGTGGAATCCTTGCTTCCTTTAGTGTGTTCTCTATCATGATGTTACTCATTGGCTAGTTGTGAGGATTTCTGCTTTCTTTGCAAGTTATGCTACTGAGGACTGTATCCTTTGATCTTCATCTGTAAGCACGGCAAGTCCTATTTGCTTACAGTAAGCCAGGTTGTGTCATCTGAATATCACAAGTTGTTAATAAGCATGACCTTTGGGTTTTGAACTGAACAGCACCCACCCAGCACCATGTGAGACATTTCCTCAAACCTTCATGGGTTCTGTGGGACAGGCGGCAAAGTGCAGAACCCGGAAACATGAAGAAATACGTTCAAGAGTGGGGAGGAAATGGAGCAGACCGGCATCTTGCAAGAATTTGGGGACTTTCTCAATCTCCACCTCCTTGGGACTAGTTTGCTATTAATTCTTACCAAAGAAATTATTACTACAATATGGTCGAATCTTTCAGTAATCCTGGTGGCTCTGCTGTTTTTCATATAGTCCAGTTTTTCAGACTCTTTTAAGAATGGTGAAAAGTTATAACCCTGATGCACACCTTTCCCGATTTCAAACCATGCTGTGTCCTCTCTGGTCACACGACTGCTCCTTGGTCTGTGTGTGGGTTCTGCGCAAGCACAATTAGGTCCTGAAATTCCCATTGTTTATAATGTTATTCCCAGCTTGTTAAGATCCACGCAGTCAGTGCCTTTGCACAGTCAGCGAAAGACCTGCAAACACATCTCTGCTTTCAGTCAAGGTCCTGCTGACGTCAGCAGGCGTAGCCTTCATGCCAAGCCCTTTTCTGAACCTAGCTCCTTTTCTGGCAGCTCCCTGTTGATGTCCTGCTACAATGAGCTTTTGATTTATCGTCAGTAAAAGTTTCCCCTTGGGTGATATTAATGATATTGTTTGATAATTCTGCATTCTGTTGGGTCATCTTTCTTTGGACTGAGCCCAAATCATGGCTGTCATCTCCTCCACTGGCCAGGTGGCTATCTTCCAAATTTCTGGCCATAGACACTTGAACACCTCCAGCACGGCATCCGTTTGGCAAAACAGGTCACTGGACATTTTGTCCATTCCTGGAGCTTTGTTTTTCGCCAATGCCATCACTACAGCCGAGACGGCTTCCTTCCAGATCATGTGCTGTCTCTTGCAGTGGTTGAACCTCAGCCGATTCTTTTGGGGACAGCAACACAGCGTGCAACAGAGTGAACACTACCGCATCCTGCCCGATTCAGACAACGATTTCTCTACTTGTGAATTTAAAGGTAATGGGATTTTTAAGAGTTTTCTCATAGTCCACCCATCTTTTTGTGATGCTTCCTCTGTCATTCAATAATTTGGTTGTAGAATAGTAATTCAAAAAATGTTTCAATTCTTTCAGCTTGAAAAGTGTCACCTCTATTGTAAAAATGGCCTGGATGTGTAATATATGGCTCCTCTGACTTCACAGGGCATAAGAAACGCAGACTCAGCATCCGTCCGAGGCGAATTCACATGAGGCTGAGGGTCAGGCATGCCGCCCTGCTCTCACCATCTTTTCCAATTCTAACACCAACCATCCGTCCCACGGCTCTCTGCTTCTTGACTGGGTTTGATATTCATAGCAATGGCCATTCAGAGCCCACAGACAACGCCTGTGATTACAGAGCTTACCAGGGAAGTCAGCAGGCCACAGTTCAGAATTAGCAACCCTCAAGGTAAAGTTCTTT